CGATGGCCTGCAAACTAATAGCGATGGCCTCCACCTATATAGCTTCTTGTTACTAGTAGCGATGTCCTCCAAACGAATAGCGATGGCCTCCACCCAGTAGCTTCTTGTTACTAGTAGCGATGGCCTCCAAACTAATAGCGATGGCCTCCACCTAGTAGCATCTTGCTCCTAGTAGCGATGGCCAACAAACTAATACCGATGGCCTTCACCTAGCAGCTTCTAGTTGCCAGAAGCGATGGCCTTCAAACTAATAGCGATGGCCTCCACCTAGCAGCTTCTAGTTACTAGTAGCGATGGCCTCCAAACTAATAGCGATGGCCTCCACCTAGTAGCTTCTAGCTACTAGCGACGGCCTCCAAACTAATAGCGATGGCCTCCACCTAGTAGCTTCTAGTTACTAGTAGCGATGGAGATGGCCTCCAAACTAATAGCGATGGCCTCCACCTAGTAGCTTCTAGTTGCTAGTAGCGATGGCCTCCAAACTAATAGCGATGGCCTCCACCTAGTAGCATCTTGTTACTAGTAGCGATGGCGATGGCCTCCAAACTAATAGCGATGGCCTCCACCTAGTAGCTTCTAGTTGCTAGTAGCGATGGCCTCCAAACTAATAGCGATGGCCTCCACCTAGTAGCTTCCAGTTACTAGTAGCGATGGCCTCCAAACTAATAGCGATGGCCTCCACCTAGTAGCTTCTTGTTATTAGTAGCGATGGCCTCCAAACTAATAGCGATGGCCTTCACCTAGTAGCTTCTAGTTACCAGTAGCGATGGCCTCCAAACTAATAGCGATGGTTTCCAACGAGATGGCCTCCAAACTAATAGCGATGGCCTCTACCTAGTAGCTTCTTCTTACTAGTACAGATTGAAGACATGTTTCCGAGGAGAAAACACACGGGTTACGTTGATGGCGTAGAGGAAATCAAAAGACACAAATGTGATCAAAACAGAGTCCTGGAATACTGTCGGTGTCATTCTTTCACTTCAGCGGTGTCACACTTCTTAACAGGTCAAACTTCGATTCCGGTGATTGGTGAATAGGAGAAATGTAAGCAATGTTTACTGAGCTTCTCTCCCGATGTCTTCCGAACGTGTTCAAGAGCCCGCCCCGCGACCGACACCCACGCACAGTTTGCACCAGAAGAGGTCATGACGATCATGGCCTCTTCCGCCACTCGGAATCAGAATCGAGTTAGCTTGAAGGGACTGACGTTGGAATACCACCTGAGTAGTCCACCTTGGAATACTGTACCACCTGAGTTGGGGTGATCAATCAATTCAGAGACTCCGTGGAACGAAAAACCACTCGGCCGACCCGCCCAAGAACCGCCCACACCGCCCTCCAGCCGAGCTGTCAAACCTTCGGCTGAGCACTGCGCGCCTTCAGCAGGCTTGCGCCTTCTCCGCTGCCATACTCAGCAATGTCCTGAAGAGTCTAGTTAGTCTAGATACTAGTTCGTTTCTCACTCAACGACTCGACCAGAAAGCCAATGGGTTGCACCTCCGTCGAAGGTTCCAAAGGGGCGGTGGAGATATTGCTCGTAGCAAGAAATCATAGATGGCTGTGGGTCAATACCTTGGCTGACCTACCTGGAAGGTCAAGCTACATGATGTTGGGGCTCCAGGTTTTGACCCATTCCCAGATTTCTTTCTCTTCCAGGTTTTGGTGAAGAGATGCCTCAGTAGACATCCCGGCGACGGTTTTTCCAGAACTGACAGACGGTGACCCTGAGCCAGTGACTGCAATCGAACAGATTTAATACGTAACCCCCTTGGCTTGCAACCCAGCCTCGCTCCCATGCATACTCAACAGAATGGCTCTTCTCCCCTGCACAGATTGCGACAAAAAAACGTTTTCCAAGCAATGCAGTTCGTGGTCTGTGCTGAACTTCAGCAGTAGCATCACGCTACAACCTGAAGTTCTCAGGATCCCGCAACATCGGTGCGGCCAAGGGCAGCACAAAGTCTTAGCTCGGAAGGTGCAAATTGAGTTGTTCGTTCTCGGAACAGAAGGGGAACCTCATCTATTAGCAAACCGCCCGTGGACCCTGTTGATAGGCTTCAAGCAGGGTCTGGGATCCCTCATTCTTCGCTCGACCGCATCAAGCATAGCTCAACCGTTCACGAGCATAGCTCTGCCACATGTTCATGCGAATTTGTGCACCGGGTCACCGCTTCACCGCAAGCTGGGGATGGGCATGTTGCCGAAGATGTCACGGTGCCTGGCCCATCGTTCGACGGACGAAACGGACGGTCCGGTCCCTTCTTCTACCTCGCGTCCGGTGGGTCGGCTCAGTCGGCTGGGTCCGACGTGCTTTTGGAGGGTGTCAAAGATTCTGTAGAGGAGACTTCTCCTCCAATTCCGAACGTTAGGAGAGTCGGCATCGGCGTGCAGGTTCGAAACACATCCTGCAAGGCAACCAAGTCCCAACTCCAACACCAATGCCCCCTCAACCGGCGTGCCGGTTTCCTCAAAAGAGCTTTCGACTGCTAATTTGCCAATCTCCACAGAACTGAATAAAACATGTGCCTCAACTGAATTAAACTGTGTTTTGTCTCACATAACGGTGGCCCGTGTGGGTGGTGAACTGGGAGCAGCACTCTGTTGCTCTCTCCGCTCTGCTACAAGGGAAAATGACACCCAACGGATTCTTACACAAAGCACCTCGCGTACATTGAGAGAAAGATGATGGTAAAGACCACACCGGCAACCTCAGTCTTCTTGAGTCTTCCACAGTAAAAACACTCTGCAGGAATGTGACTCCTAAATGTCTAGTCAGCAGGGCACACTGAAACAAACAAAACGACGCTAGATCAAGGAATGCACAAACCCAATCCCAAGTCGATAGAGGTTCGTCGAGTTCTGCTTGAGTCAAACGTCCGCTGTGTCCGAGGCGCCACGATGTAGATGAGGACAAAGAGAGCACATCCATCAATGCCAAGGATGTCAGATCGAGGGTTCTCTCCATACTTCTTCTTGAAATACTCAACCTCAAGGGGTCGCTGCAGGCCGTGCCCAAAGGGTCGCGAGAGAGTTTCAAAAACCCCACCAGTGCTATATAATCAAAATATCCCATCAGTTCGAAAAGCTTGACAGTCACATCTACCCTCCCTGGCATGACCACAGAACATGAAGGAACTCTGTTCCGCACAATGCTCGATCCAATGGGAATATCTGTCTGAATGCAGTCCAGGGTGGTTGGCAAATGTCGGTGTGGACCTGCTCACTCACTTGAGGTCATTGGTCCGTTTTTCAACTGTGAAAGGGAGGCTTCTGCTCCGCCGGTCGGGGCACGTATTCCTTGTCCAACTCATCGACATCTTCTTCCCCTGCGGCCTGCAAGAAAAGGCAAAGGGTGGGCAGATACCCTTCAGGCGAGTTCAAAGGAATCCCGACAAGAAATGGAGACTCCAAGAATGATGACTACAGTATATACTTCCGCACCACTGGGTATCCTTTCGAGTTTCACAGGGAGAATCAAAAGGGGACCACAAACACGTGCAAGTCATGGTCCAGGTTGGCCATTTCTTGAACACAAAAAAGGGAGCTGTTGCAGGCATACTCAGTGCTTCTTATTTGGATGAATGGGACTGCGTTCCAGCCCAGCACCAACTAGGCGATTCCAAGATATCCGCAGTGAATGGGTGATGTGTCAGCCTCTCTGTGCAAGAACTGCCTCCCAAGGTGTGGCTCCCACAACATCCTTTGTTGAAGGAACCCCCAAACAGTTGAACACACTTCTGCGGACTTTTCACTGGTTTCTCTACCTGGGAAAACCCCTCAAGTCGTGTTTTCCCAAAAAGGGAAAAAGACCACGGCTCACCATCTGTCGACTGCTCAGTAGCTCCGCACACGCCTCTGCTTCTTCTTTCTTCTTCTGCTCAGTGTCCTGCTGCACCTGCGTCTCAGAGGCCGGGGGGTCATGGGGGTCATTCACAGGAACCAGCGAAGGGCGGAATGACACAAAGTGATAAGTGACGGTCAATCGTTCTGTATCTTTCATCTGTTACGTACTTTTCCATGAAAGTTCTGTGAACCACCAACTGGTCGTCCAAGCTTCCGGAAACCCCTTCGAAAACATCCCTCGACATCCGCGGTCAGTGCGACATCGACCTGCCTTTCGGCGGCGCAATTCCATCTCATCTCCCACAGCTGAGGACATGGCCTGCAAAGGGGGACGTGGAGTCACAGAGCTGGTGGTGTGGCTCGTCCCATCTGAGTGGATGTGACACCCTTAACCTGGATAGCATCCCTTAGGGGCCCAAGAAAAACCAGCTTGGGCTTGCGAAGAGGACTGTGTTTTCTTTTTCGGGCTTTGCTTCAGAACGGAGCACCCAAATCCATGGAAACGAACGGAGCAGCTCTTGTCCAGTCCTTCGTTTCTGGGGGAGTGCTCCGCCGGGCACGGAGCTGCGCTCATGACTGATAGGGGAGCTTTCAGCCGGTGGATTCATCTCCCTCCAAAAGTGCAAAGGCGCAGAAGCGTTCGCAGGTCGTTGCCTGGTGCTTTCTTCATCACTCGCATGAAGCGAACCTGGTGCTTTCTGACACACCTTGAAATGGACTTCTGGGACCCCCAGAAGTCAACGAATGACTCGTGGGAAAAGATCCGGACCTAGGCTACCTAGGGCCAGATGAGGACGACCAGACCAGCCTTCTGTTGCTTTGAGGCACCCCGTAGTCTCCAAAACAGCTATGCCTTGGATGTTGAAGACGACTTCAGAGCCCTCAAGGATAGATCAAAGCCCAAACATGCGCACGCCTTGGTGTGCAGCTGAAAGCGACCCAGGCCGGAGCAAAGCCCCTAAGGCTGCACTTGGAACTGCTCTAAATGTATCAACACTTGAGCCACTTGGAACTGGCCAGATCTGTGTTCACTTGGAAAGGCATGACAAGCAGTGCCAAGACCGGGAACAAATCCTGTTGTGCCATGGACTCACGCTTGTCAGGTCCTGGGACGAATCTCAAACCACATGTTATGTAATGTTATGTATAGATGATTGTAGATGGGTGTCTTCAAGGTATTGCAAAGCCATCATTGGGATATATCTAAACAGAAGAACATGGAAGAACAATCCCAAACCCTTCGTCCAAAAACATGGTTTCTTGTCGCCAGCCTAACCTGTGTTGAAGTTCTTCCACGGATTGAGATGGACGAACGACGACCCAAAAGGTCGCCTTCCTTCGCCCCAAGGGGGCCGTTCCCGCGGATTCCACCCCCGTTCCGAACAACACGATGGTCCCTCCTTCAGGGACATGCCTTCGAAGCCCTCACACTCAAAGGGCTCACCCTCCGGCGGTTGCACGTGGAAGCCTCAGTTGAGAATCGCCATGAACGGGTTGGAGGCCATCGCCTGTAGGTTGGAGGCCATTGCTATGAAGTACGGCCCCCAGCTTGTCGGACTCGGTCCGGACGAAACAAAGAGCCATCGTACCCGAGCACCATGAGATCAACCTACGGACGAACGAATAGGGACTGCATCCAATACCACCAACAAAGTACGTACAAGAGTGCCAGTGCGCCACACCAATGGGGCACAACTCAAGAATGAAGTAACCGAGTGGGGATTCCTGAAAAGGGCTTCCAAACCCTCCAGCCTTGGACACCTCCCCACCCACGCTTCGCGCTCCCTTTCTGGTCGCCGATCTGGCTTCGAAGGCCTGAACGGCCTCAGGGTCGCAAGGGCCCAAGAGCGCGGCCAGCTCCACCTGGTGGGTTCCGCAGGAAGGAAGGATCCAACTAACCCTGTCTTTGTTGGTCAGAAAGAAGCATAAAAACAAAAAGAACTCTAGAGGTCCTTTGAGTCAACTACTTGGGCAACATGTATATGAGGCAATTCTTGGGTGAGGGGGCTCAATACTGCAGCCATGTATGAAATGATTCGCACCATAAAATGATCCTTCTTGGAATACCGGGTCGTGGCAGGGGTGATTGATTGTGATAACAACTGTTTACAATATCAATGTCCTGGTCTCAAACCTCATTACAAAATCAAAACCTCTAACCAACCAAAACTACAGAATCAATACACTGAATGTCGACAAACACATCAAAGCTTACTACGAAATCTAGAGACCCAGGGCAGCCCGAACACATTTCTGAAAGAAACAGGTTTACAAAATTGCATCCTTCACATGCAAAACAATATGTACAGAATCATTGTCCCAACTACAATCTACAAATGTGCACTGTCTACATTCAAACCATTTCCAACCCGTTCAGAAGACTTAATAAAGCTTAATGGCCCATAGATGCCCATCTCGTATATTCTCTTATGGCTATCATCTGGTAATATGTGTTTCTTATTATTGTGTCTTCATCTTTCTTCCTAAGCTTGAGATATTGATTCCATAAGCTTGAGATAGCTTGAGCATGTCTGTGCAGCAACGCTCAAACGATGTCTTTTCAAAATCAATACCCTCAGGTAAAATCTCTTCATAATCATCCCCCTACTTGCAAAAGCCAGATTGAAAAGTGGCTTATCTAAACCATCTCTGATTCTACAGAATCAATGACCTCACCTACCCCTCCAGACTCATATCAATTGTTTACAAAATTGCATCCTTGGCCTGCATACCCTAAACAAGTCAGGTGTTAGCTGCGCAAAATTTAGCTGCTGTACGCACCCAGACCCCCATGATTCCGTAGAGGAAATTCCAACAGGGATATAAAATATCAACAGCAACATACAGCAACTGTGTTGAGCAATACGAGAACGAATTGAACCATTCCTGGAAGAAACAAAACTCTTTTTGCCAGCAAAGAGTACATACAAATCCCAAAAGTCAAAGCACGACAAGGCACGTACAGTGCAAGTCACGGATGTGTACAGTACAGCAATCCACGTAAAGGTTGACTGGCTGTTGGCTCAAGAGCTCTTCCATCAAACAATACGTAGCTCAGCTCATCCCGAAGATAGAGGAATCGGTTCATTTTCAAAGTCAGCCAGGGTGCCTGGGTTTTAACCCACAGCGAACTGTCGCATTTCCCCCAGCTTGCAAAAAGGAAATAACTCATCATGCTTGACAGCACTCAAGAAGAGAAGGGTTTCCCAAGATTTGCTTGAGATTTCGCACTAAATCCCATCCATTTCCTCAAGACCAATCACGACCCGCCTTCGTGTCACCCACCCACCTCCCAGCGGAAAGTCTTCCACTCAGTGGCCTCTGCTGGGAAGTCCTCGTCTTCCGCCTCACTTGTAGGCACTGAGACACTCACAGCGGCTTTCAGAATGGTTCAACTGATTCCGCCCTTCTAGAAGGAGGCAACAAAAGGGACCTGGTCCAGGTTTCGTTGACCCAAGCTTTGTGCCAGTTCGTTCTCCCATCCAAGTCGCATCAAACGTCACTCCACGGGGGCCCGAAACGGGCCCGAACAGACCGTCCCTTCGGTCGGTCATGGGCACTGTTCTTCGCGCGGAAATGCACCGAAGCACACAAGTCAATGGAAGGGTACTGTTCGCTCACCGTGATATGGTAGATACATGGAGCGCCAGTTATGAGCCACACGCACCTTTGAAAAAACCAAGCGCTCTCCTGAGTAGGAACCGTGTTGAGACCATTTGAGAGCCACATCTCATCTATCTTAGCCGACTTGCATCCGCCTGAATGGGTCTGGCTCTTTTCTGCTTCTCCCTGGCCTGGCAATCCAGAAAATATGGCAACTGTCGGGAGCTGCTTTCTTCGTGCTCATGCTTTTAATGGCCTTTCCATCGGTGCTTTCCCAAGGGTTCCAGTCTTCTTTCGTCCTCCAGTGACGTCTCGCCCGCCCAAAACGCGAGCTCGTCTCGGTTGGGGTTCCGAAGTCCAAAAGCCGGGCCTTCCATAACAAGACCTGAAGTCGCGCTGCTTTCAGCCGCGCCGCAGAGTTGGCAGGTGCGCCAGGTGCGCGTGAGATCGCTTTCAGGCGCGCCAGGGTGAAGAGAAGACATTGAGCAGGCTCTTCCTGAGACAGATCGAGGCGACGGATCTTGACCTACCCCGGTATTTTTGAGGCCCGCTCACCCATTTTGGCCCCCCATGTCCTGTCCTCTGCGGCAAAAGCCCTGAGAGCATCCACCACCCAATGTCGCGAAGCAAGCCCACATTTCTCCGCCTGCCATAGCAACAGGAGAGCTTCTTGGCTAAGACAAACCTCCTGGCCAAAGCGCGGCATGTAAAAATAACTGAATTGGTGAAGACAGGTTAAGATGTCTTTGAACCGCCTTTTTATGAGGCAGCAAATCAGGACGGGAATCCCGTTATATAATGGGTTTGTATGAGGCAGTATATCGAAGGAGTCTTTGGGTCTAGACAACAAGTTAAGTCAATGAGTCGAGGTCGCATCCAGCCAGCAAAAACAAGAACATCTTCTTTTCTCGAGATTTGGCCACCGTCGATTCAGCCAGCTCCCCGAAAGTTCTTTTGCAGGACCGCGGTCACAGCAGCATTTCTTCACCACAGCTCCACTTTCATCCACTCTCCTCCAGAATGCTGTCCCCCGCCAGGGCCGTGGCCAACTGAGGAGTCCTCAGCCTTGGCAAAGTCTGCGAGGTTCTCTGCCCTGCGTCTCCCGCAGAGTCCAAGGGTCCCATCTGGCTGTGGGTCATGGCACCAGGATACCATGGTTGACCTACCGACGTAACTTGCGCATCAATCCCGAACGCTTCCCAAGGCCCTTCATCATATTGATGGGTCCCTGGGAGTTGGTGAAATTTCCCACGGGCATGGGTTTTGTACCCACACACCAAACTACAAATTGGCAATTGCAAGAAATCGCCGTACCCAAAAAAACACCCTAACTATGTGAGACCGAATCTCCGCATGGCACAAAGATGGCGGTGGATACGAACGACGAAGACAAATTAATGCATCTAATTGGGTAGCACGGGTGGAACAAGGTCATCCAAATTGCCCCCACGATTCCAAACTTCACGGAGTTTTTTACGAAAATGGTAGCACTGCGAATATTCCAGATTGACCATGGGGTCTACTGTAATCCTGACATGACACAAGTCCATGGGAACAAGACCTAATGGATGGTAAGGTGGCTTAGTGCCCAAGTTCTTTGCATACTTTTGTAGAGTCTTCTGTGTATCATCCGAGTTAACGAATTGCGGCCTAAGCGGAAAACCACCCGTATAAGTACGTCCCCATCCAACTTGAACCAGGCTACTGGAGGCAGTTTTATGAAATTTCGGATATAATCGCGTGCTACAAAAACCCTGCAAGTACTGGATAATAATGCGGATTGCATCTGCTTGTTCACGAAGTGATCGTAACTTGATTGGAAGCGCCAAAACTTTTGGGTCTTGGAAATGGTGAGGGCGCGCTCGAGATCGATCAGGTGGCTTGATCCAACATGGAAACTGAACACCTGTTTGAAGAATAAAAGCAATTGCCAACTCATGCCATGTGATGCCCGATTTCGTTACATCATCATGATCCCCGTCACTTGAGTGACATGAAGAATTGAAGGACAAGGTGGGAATAATCGGCTCCCCAAAGGCATGCTCGAAATACGTGTGGGTGAATATCAGGTGCAGACAGGACAAGGGGATGACTCACACTGTGAATTACCCGAAGTTGGTGAAGTGTGCCCCAGTTTTGGCTTGGATCATCATTTTGAATTTCTGCGTCATCACGCTTAGCTTTTTCTTTACATAAGACATGCGCAATATTAAGATCATGGAGATAGCGCAGGACTTGCATTGACTGACGTATCTGGGACTGGTTCCATAATTCAACTTTAGCGAAACTTTGTTGATTTGCCTGGCTATCTGTTTTACGAGCTTGGACTGCTGCCATATGGTTGACCTACCGACGGGAGGTCATTCGCTACATGGTGGACTGGTCGGGCTCCAGGTTTTGACCCATCCCCAGCTCAAGATCTGAGGTCGTTACCAAGACTTGTGGCTCATGGAACGGAACTTTTTCGAGCTTTTGAACTCCCGTCCTAGACCACCTTGGCCTACCCTCAGCTCAGTCGTCCCAGTCACAGCAGCTCGGCCAAGTCCTTCTCGGGGACCAGGAACGAGGCCGCCTCGACGCAACTCAGCGGCCCACACGAGGCGCAAGCCACACAGGCCGCCTTGGCGGGCACGGAGAAAGTCTTGTTCAGTCGAGGAGAGTCTTTTGGGGAAGACCCGAACGAGAATCGCAATCACGCGTCCCTGTGATGAGGCGAGCCATGGAAGAAGAGGTAGAGATCGTGAGCGATGTCGCCAGGAGACGAAGGGACACGATACAAAACCACCACGGCAAGACCACGAAAATCAGATCTATATACAGTACTCTTTGCTGCTGCCTGCTCCTTCATGCTGATTCATGCTGTCTATGTCTATGCGTGAATAACACAAAATTCAACAAAAAAAGTCTCATGGCAACTAGACGAGCTTCCCCAACAACCATCCCCACTCCAAGGCACCGGCTCCTCCTCCTCCGAGCACAGCTCCACCACTGCTCCCTTCAGCTTCCACCAGCCACGCTCCGCGCCCTCCGCGCCCTCCGTGCCCTCCACGCCCTCTGCGCCCACGCAGGTGGCCTTGGGCGTGGCAAAGGCATCTCCTGGGTCGAAAGGCCAGGTCCGGCGGTGGGCACCGAGTGGCTTTGCTTTCACCCTCGCGGATCAGGAAAGACTGTATCCATCGATCGGAATTGATAGGGTGTATCCATCGATCTCGTTCATGTGCCTCGCCTTTTTGGCGTAGAAAGAGACCTTTGGCGATGAAACTGCAAGCTGATACAACCTGATAGAGGCTGACTGCAGCACTGCAGACTCCTAAATGTAGCCAACCCACTTAGGCATCCACACTCATTGTTTCAACGCAAAACATGCAATCGACCTACTTTGCGCAGTGTTCCATCCCCTCTGGCTCCCACTGGCGCTCCATCCAGCCTTGACAGCGTGGACACACGAAGACGCGCGCATCATCCCATTGGTTGCCTGCAAGTCTGCTGACCAGGACCTGCCCCTACCAAAGCCTCGAAAATGAGAGGCTTTACAGAGCTCATCAGAGCTCTACATCTACAACTGCTGCCTTCCACAACAGACACCCAAGTTACTGTAAACGGTCTCACTTTCCAGACTCAAATCGGTCTCTGATCCGATCTGCCCAGTTGCTGCAGCGTTCGCAAGTGCAAACGAATTCTTTCGTGATCTCCAAGCGGTGCCGTCGCTCCAGGACCGGAAGCCACAGCACGCCCGAGCTCAGATAGGAGATCTTGAGCTCCATCCCCTGCAGCGACCCTCACCGACTGATCGCAGACGGAGAGTCACACCCGCAGAGCTCGGAGGGTCTTGAAGTCTCAAATCAATCAAACCTTTGAAAGCAGTATCGATCAAGCCTAAGGCGGCTACCCTGGATCACCCCTGCGCTGTGCGGAGGAAAACCACGGGTTCAACCGGTCTCGGGCCACCCGTGCCCACCCGATTCCACTGGGATCCAGGTCCGTTCCCAAAAGGGTTGGGGGCGATCCAGTGATCAGCTGGGTGCGCCTGCTGGATGTGCTCTCCTGCACGGAGCTCAATGATCTTCTGTTCCAGGTCGAAGTTCCAAAAGGCATTGGGAGAACAATCATGAGAGCACATGGCCGTCAGCAGCGGAAGAATCACCCACTCTCCGCAACGTAAGGAGTTGAAGACCCAGATCTTCAGCAAACGCTCCACCTTCAATGCCAAGCCTCTCACAGGCTCCCGCCACAAAGACTTCAGCACCTGAAAGAGGAAAAGAGAACCACATCCGAACATCAGGCTTCCACCGGGGCTCCCTAACAAGAGCCTAATAAGGGCCCCCTTAGAAGCCTTAAAGGTCAAGGGGTGTTCATTCACCACCCCGTGAGGAAGAACTCTCTCCGGATGAATGGCCCAACTCTCCCAGACAAAACGATGAGTAAGGGCGGTCACAGCGTGATCAAGGGCACGCACCACCAGTCCTGAGCCCCAACAAAGTCCCCGCCATGCTCGTGCGCGTTCCAGTTTTTGAGACGCATGCTTCTTCCACATGGTTCATCTATGTGCCAGGTCCTATCACCATCATCCTGCACCTGCCGTCGTCACGCCCAGGTGCCGTCGTCACGCCCTCCGACAGCTCTGTCTCGCGCAGAGGGGCCCAGAGCTGCAGCGCCAGCTCTTGCACTTCCAGTGAGACACCTCCCTGGAAGGCGCCATTCACCTGGACCATCCCAACCAAAGTCTGAAGAAGAAGAAGAAGGCGAACGAAGACATGTAAATATGAAATCATCCCATCTCACGGTCTCCCTCACCTTTTCGTAGCCTCCGCGTATCGCGCGCCCCGGGGCTGCCGCGAAGCACCTCAGACTCGGTCAAGGTCTGCAAGGCAGCCCAGTAGAGGAGCGCGGGATATCCGAGCAGCGCCTCCCAGCCTGGGAGCAGTGCCGAGCGCTCGGCTCGAGCAGCACGGACGGCTCGGTGTCACTGGACAATGGGTGAAGGACGGCTTCTAAGAGGATGCTACCGGTTGTCCTGAGGGGGGACGGAATCATCATTAAGGGGGTAGGGATGCTTGAAGTTCTAAAGGTGTGATCCATGTTTCTGCAAGGCCGGGACGGCCGGGACCCTTCCAGTTTGCTAGATATGAAGCCTAAAACAGCATGATGACTGGGTCAGCTCTGCGAGCTTCGATGTCTCGTCTCGAGACTGTCTCGTCTTTCCCCGAGTGGATGAGTCGTCAGTGGCTCCGACCGCTCCACGTAGATCCAAAGGTCAAAGGTGGCCAACCAGTCCGGCTCTCAGCACCGAAATGAGCGATGTCCGAAAGTCTCCGCGGTTCATGTGAGCCACAACTGTATATGATTCTTACTACATTATAGTACATAAGTTACTTCTCCTTCCGTTCAGGTTGACAAGTGTCGTTTCTCTTTTTGGGGATAGTCATGTTTGGTGCATGAAGATCCATGTCAGTTACGAGTCTAAGTGAGACAAAGCCTTCCTGTGAAAGCCGGCCAGCTAGCCAGGTCCATCCTTTGAACATATCGTGAACAAATTTGGACAAAACCACCACGGCAGCTTTTGGAAAAGTGAACCACGCCAAGGAGGTCAAGGTAACCCAGTCAGCCCTGCCTCCAATCCAGACTTGTTGGATCCAATAAAGATCTCAAGAGGAGAAAATGTAACGTCCGTCCGCACAAACATTATGAAACTAAAAGAAAAAGACACCCCTATCTTGAAGATGTTGAGACTTGAGTGCTTGACATGACATCAATATAGGATCAAGGGTGGGGCTAATTTGGCTCAACTGTCAAGAGCTGTTGTCATTTCACCAGTTGACTTGCGCCAAGAAACTGTCCTCCATCTCCAAAATGACGCTGCATGCCCTTGATTCGTCCATTGAGACACAAACCAGCGGAGCTTCTGAGAGTGCCTTGGCTTGAGAGACATGCCATGGATCCTCAACCCTCGGCATCACATGGTCGAATTTTGCTGATGGTGTCCAAGGCGCTTAACAACAGAAGCTTGGAAGATTGGGCCTGGTGGAAACCAATGAGTAAACCCTCTCCCAAAGCAGAATAGGCAACTGGAGAGGAACATCGTCTAAGTCTAAGCCTCTAAGCCATTGGTCCATCTGAGTGCGTTGTGTCAAAACCGCCCGGGCCCAACTCCTCATCTCTGGCCGCCGAGGCTCCACCTGCCCTTTCGTCAGGTCTTCGGAGGCGATCAAGACCCGGCCCTTCCGCGCATCATGCCCTACATGGACACATCCTTTCCTGCGACCCACCAGGGGGGCTTTCGGCCACTCCATGGCTAGCAGTTCCCTCTTGACGGGCTCATGGAGGGCGCCCTGAGCCGAAGATCCAGCATGGCAGAAGCCGAACATCCTTCCCCTTCGCCCGGGCCCCGACCCCCCCCTGGAGTCGAAAATCCCTGAGCAAGACAATGATTGTTCGGTGAAGCCCTTTAAAACAACATTGGTCGGAATCCTAGAGTCATGAAATCTATGACTGCCCCTCTCAATTCAAATCTTGAGGTGTCCCCCATCGTCCCTCATCTTTAAAATGGTCCCATCAACCTTTCCGGGTCAGGATGGTCTGACTCTGGATGTCTCATACTTCTACCTCCACACTGCTCCTTCTTGAAGCAACTCGGGTGTCGGTCAGGGTATCCGCCGCAGCCTTTGGGATGCCGGACGCACGAGTCTCTTGCCTTCTTGCAAATGCAACTCCTGCCAGTCGTTTTCTCGAAAAGACCTGGGGCTGATGGCTCCACAACAGAGCCGGAACTTAGGTAAAGGAGCACGATCTTCCCTCCGGACTCCAGCTCTGTCCAAACACTGGTATGCCAGCATGTCCTTCGTGTCATGCCCAAGCAAACCAGAAACTGGTACCACCTGCGCGACATGTTTCGTCCCCTGTCGTCGCATCGCTGGAATCCTGCTCAACACTCTTGGCTAAGGAATGAAGTCCGGCATCTTCTCCGACCTGCCCGGACACGTTCTGCAAGACTTGTGCTGAAGAAATGCCAGAAAACGAGGAACAACTGGGGAATGTGGACTCCTGACCTGATGTGACAACTTCCATGCCAAAACCTAGAGTACTTCCAAATCTCTCAGCCAGGGCCCCTGCCCCATAGGAACCATCAAAAACAACCAAATGATTGGCTGGCTTCTCACACGGCTCACACCATAACTTGGGGTGGGTCAAAACCTATTGAGCAGCTGATCCAAAGCTGACGCTTTTATCAGGCTCCACGCTCACGGCTCCACACGGTTCTCACAGGCGATCAGGCGCCTCCCATCGCCCGGCCATCTCCTGCACGGTCGCATAAAGCCGACCCTGAGGGATGCCAGCACCTGGATGGGTGACCACAGGCGAGTGGTGGCAAAGCAGGCACAGCAGGCACATCCAACCAGTTTCACAATCCGCAAATATTGAGGTGCTTTTTCATTCTCCTGGCACCAGGAAGAGCTGGTAAAGGAAACAGATTGCAGACCTAAAAGAATCTCAGCGGCATCCTACCACCAAACATGCTTTCCTTCACGCATGCCCCTGAGGGCACCAGGCGACTTCAAAGCAGCCATGATGCCATCCGCGATGGCAGGCGTGTAGCCTCCTGGGCGGATCCTAAATCGATCCCTCCCACCAAGGGATGGAGCGATTTTGTTCGTGAATCAAGAAACTTTAGCAGGCCACGTGTGCCTGTCCCACCCCGGCTGATGCAGCACCACTTGCTTGTGTGCCTGGCGGCCTCAAAAATCAGATGTTGGAACCAACAGATCTGATTTAGATGAGACAGTTCCTCCAGCATTCGCAGAGCCAGACCGCCGCATTCGCCCGGAGCTCGGCTTCCCCGCGTTCGAGCACAAAGGCTCTGGCCCGGTCGTGGTCGGTCTGGCCCGGGCCTCCGGAACAGGAGGAACTGGTACTGAAGAAAACAGAAAAAACAAAGACCACAGCAGTGCGATCGTTGTGGATCATTTCAACTGGATCTTCAATTTGCGCTTTACAAACTAGGCACCAGCCCGGACCAGCCCCATCCTCCCTCACTGTCCAGACTCCTTTCAGTCCCGGATCCATTGGAACCTCCGGTACTGAAGAACCTGCATTCAAGGCGTCGCCTGGAAACAGGCGCCGAAACAGACCGAAGATCACCAAATCAGGCGCCCGTTCAAAGATGTGACTGATACCCCCCCAAGCAATGTCTGGAGGCCCGCTTTGCTCCTTTATTTGGTATGTGTCTTGCAAAAGGTCTCCCTCTCTTATACACACCCATCTAGGCCCCTCAAAAAATGGCATTCGCCACATTCAAACAAATCAAGTCAAATCGGATACTTGTTGATGCCGAAGACTGCGCAGACAGTGGACATTGTTGAAAATGTTTCCACGCAGGAGGACGGCAAGCAGAAACTCTGAAAACAACTTGTTACTGTAGACTTTTCTTTCGCAAAAAACATGATGACAACCACCGTCGCCTAGGCAACCCAAAGCCGCGGGTGTGTGTCTTAAGCGGGGCGACCTGAGAGGAAACATGTGCAGAATAGATTAAGACTAAATGTGTTGTCATTTTGGTCCCGATGAAGCATGTCAACTTTATGGCAAACCAAATATATACGTCGGAACAACCAATTCAATGTCACGATTTGTATGCAACAGCACCCAAAATGTCACCACAACACACTACATGTATGAACAGACTGCAACACTCCGAAATCAACATCACCTGTCAGCTGGAAGTTAATGGAAGTGTCTTGATCTGTCAAGCAGACCAGACTTGATACAAGAAGAACAAGCAGTGCTCAAGCCAGTTAATGCAATTTCAATGTGGTTTTCGATCCGGCCGTCTCAAGCAGGCGCAAAGTTGCTGAAACCTCAAACAACCCGTCCTGAGGTCTTAGCTGAACGGTGCCATAGCTGGAAAAGAAACGCCCGCATTGGTGGAGATGCCATGAATCAATGTGTGCAAACGCATCGTCACTTCCAAATTCCACACTAAACACTGTCTGTGCCAACACAGACCGTTGAACGACTTTTTGATTCTGATTGTAGGCCTGTGGTTTTTTCCATCTATACAATTGACATGAAAATTCGACAACTGCCACGTCAAACGTGAAAATCAACTGTCCACCTGGATCAACATTTTCTGACCGCAGTTGGTGATCGATCTTCACATGTGTGCTTTGCTTGAGCACGACACCTGGTGGTGCGTCCATTCCGTGCATGTCCGGTGCAGTTAACCGTTAACCAATTGACATCAATGAAAACAACCATCACCATGCTGTTGCAAAACCAAATGTTCTCACTGATTCCATCATCCAATCAGGAAAGGTACTGTCACTGTGATTTGCGATCTGTGTGATGCAACCACCCGCAAAAAACAAGTTCATTCACAGAACACAAACCAAACAAATGAAGCACCTTGTCTCGGTTCGATGTCCCTTAAACTCACATACCGACCTACAAGGTGGGCGTTGTGAGTTTAAACGATTGTGTTTTAACCGCGTGGGTGCCATCCGAAACGTGAGCGGCCAATCCCAACAACATATGCGAGTTGGAAAAAATATCACGGCGTGACAACGCGACATGCAACACAGCAAATTTCATGGGAAAACAGAAGGACAAGGTGGAGATTGAGCAAACGGAGGGCAAGAAGAAGACCACAGAGCTCAAGGAGAGCACAAAAAAGAACGCAACGAAAGAAGGAGGACCGGAGATGGGCCAGCAACCGCGTCGAGCTGGAAGAAGGACAAAAAGAGGAGACAACAGGTAGAGATAGAGTTCACTTGCGCGGACAGGAAGTGGACACCAGCACTCGACATGCACCATCTCCGCATTTCCCGTTTGAGCATCCGAGTTTTGTACAGTTGCCAGTTCAACTTGTGAACCACCATCACCACAAGCGCCGACCAAAAAGGCTACTTGCGGAAGCATGCACAGCCGACTGCTAAAGATGCAGTGGCCAGTTGACACAGTGTGTGAACCTTCACTTCTTGCAGTTGACTGGTCAAACACTCCCTGACGCACAACATACCAAAGTCCATGCATTGGTCACAGGAACACAGAGCAGTAGACCCGTTTCTCAATCTCCCTCTGGGCGTGCATAAGATTGGCCTCGCATCACTAAATTCTAACACATTGACATAGGCAGGAGATGACAATCAGAACACCATCGAGTGACAAAGGAACAGCAACCCCGTTTTCCTCCTCTACATGCCACGGGATTCTTCAAACTTTCAAGATTTAAAGGTCAGGTTCCTTCACTTTTCAAAACACAAAACCAAACAACAAAACAACAAGAAACAGTTTTTCCATTGTTCCGCGCATTATGGTCTGTGTGCGAAAACACGGATGCGGCAGCTTCCCTGTTCGATCCTGCTCCTTGAGCCAAAGTCATAGTCATTCAAGGCTGTCTCAAAGTTTGTCCAAAGTTTCTCAAACTCTTCTTAAAAGAGTCGGGACTGTTCAGAGTCTTCTCAAACACGTCTCAAACCTACCAAAAAGTAAAGAACTATCTTCAAACAATCTTAAGAGTTCTCAAACGATACACAGCTCTACCAAAAGCTTCTCTAGACACTCTCCAGCCACTCCTGGTCACATCAAACCTTCTCAAAGGTCACACTGCCAAGTTGGTCAAAGCAGAAACACCGCAAAGGACCAAGAACCCAAATCAGTTCCAACCCCAAGTCATCAAAAACGAAAATCTACCCAAGAAACAAGCACTAGGTGATCCACACACTGTACAAACAGGCTTCGCACTATCTTTCACACCCCTTCTTGGGTCACAAGGTGCTGCCTTTTTGTCTCTCTCTCTTCTTCTCATTTTTCTGGACAACTCAGGATCAAACGTCAACTGAGGTCCAAACTCCTGTCGACCAATCTTCCACATGAACTCAATCAAGCTTAACTCAGGTTCAATCAAGATCAACCAAGGCCAGATCAACCAACCAACAACGAGCTGAGAGGCAGACTCCAACCATTCTTCGACCGAATGGGACGCAAGTTCTGCCCAATGCATTTGGAGCCTGATTCAAGAAATTCCACCAAACACTTTTTCTCTGGGATGTGACCTGTCCTGCAAACCAAAAATCTTGCAAATTCTTGAGGGTTTCCCCACTTTCGGGATCTTCAAAAGTATGTCAGCTCTTCGCCATGACTTTCCATGAAGCCGGGACGAATGCCAGCACACTGCAGAGCATTGATGGCCTCAGCAACGCCCATTGACACCAGTTGCGGAAATTTTAAACCCAAACAGCCCAAACAGAGTCCAAAAAGACCTTTTACAAACTAAACCTCCTAAGAAGCAAAGTTCCAACGATCGAGCGTGAGACACGAACGCACAGTTCCTGGCACTTTCCGAAAGCAGCACCCTAGCAAATCCTCACAGCACAAAGCACCCTTTTCGCAGGCACTGGTGTCGTTACTCAAACACACACAAAGGGCCAACAAGGACTACGTGAGATGGCTTCTCTTCACATTCTTGAGCCAGACGTTCTGCAAGAACATCCAACATTCAAGCTTCCTCTTTTCAAGTCTTCACACTCTAAAAACAGGTAGAGAACACCATCGGTGATCACTACCCCCCTCAGACGGAACGGTCCACATGAGATCACCTCAAATGGGATCGTGGCCGAACCATGATGTCATCGGTAGTGAGCACCACGAGGCGAACCACCTGTTCAAGCGATCCGATCGATAGAGGACGACAAAAACACACCTCACTGCTTTGAAACAATCTCAGTTGTTTCTGATCCTTTTGGTTTCCTTAAACAGTTCCAGTTCCCAGTCGACACTTGGTTCCACCAAGTGTTCGCACTTCAAATAAACAAGTCAAAATTGGTAAACCTTCTCTACAGTACAAGTCAAAATTGGTAACCTTCTCTCAGGCGAAAACTCCATCCCCGCCAGTTGACCCAAATCGTTCCCTCAAACGATTTCGTTAAACTGATATTCCAATCTGTACTCCTTTTGAATCCAGGTATTCAAAGGACACTTTCCACTACTCATCCGAGGAGGATGAGTCACAAAAGCTCTTCAAACGTTCACGCTTGGTTCCACCAAGCACTTGCACTTCAAATACTCAAATAAACACTTCCTTCCACGAAAAAAATTCAAATGCTTCAAAGGACAATTCTCGCGAAGTTCGTCAAATGGTTCAAATTCTTCAAAGGACACTTCGCTCTGACTCCTCAAATGGTTCAAAAGGGCACTTCGAGTTGCGGAAGCTCGCAGTTCTTCAAACACTTCAAAGGACACGCTCCCCTGAGGGTGGAATTCACTCCAACCCTTGCATCACTCTCTCCAGGTCCGCACCCGGAAAACTCAATTCAAACTCGCCATCCAATAAGAGGAATCTCAAAAGTTGCTTTATCCCCTTCTCATACCTTTGATCAGGTGCATGTTGTCCAGTTGCAAGTAGCGAGATGAAGATGTGAAGATCCTCTCTGGAGTGTGACATCCAGGCCTATTTGCCAAGGCATCTCCTGAATTTTGCATAACTCTCCACTGAAAGGGGTTGTTTGGTTCTGCATCCAACGTTTCCCTCAAGTGTGGCACAGCCGCTTTCCAAATCTTCAGTTTCGACAGTCCGTAATCCTCAAAACAGGAATCAAGGTATCCCGGAAGAACGTTCACAGGAGTTTGTTTGATCCTTCAACGACGAATCACACGTCCGACAAACTTCAACTGTCCATCTTTCAACGGTTCCAAAACGCCCGTCAACTTCGTGGGCACATGTTTGTTGAAAAGCGCTTGCACCTTACTCCCTGTTTCCCAATCTTTCAAGACATCAACATGGATAACCATGATGATCCCTGGGGTTCATGGGACCTTTGACAATTGATTGAGCAGACTTTTTCTTGAGAAGAAAATAAACCAGAGACCCAGAATCACCCCAACTCACACTCAACGCCAACTTCACAATGATCTTTGTGTGTGCATGAAAGCAGCACCACAATCCAAAGTCGTGACCCTGCACTGCCAACACTGTCTCGATTGCCTCAGAACTTCATGTTCGACTTCCGTCAACATTCCCCACGTCGTGTCATCAATCCCATGGTCCGGTTTCCTTCTTTTGCACAAAAATGCGATGGACTTGGCCTGAGTCCATCAGATCGTGGATGTCAAGTGGCAAGTGCACCACGCCAACTGCACACAAAGGAGAGAGTCAGGTGTTGTCACTGCTCAGAGACCAACATGCCCACACTTGCGCAATCCCTGCTTGCTTGGAGAGCTGAACGCAGGACCTCTGAATCCAGGTTGGACGATCAGCTTTGGCTTGGAGGGTGATGTCTTCAGCGCGAAATTTGTCCAAGAAGAACACCTGACATGTTTTGCTGTTTGACGCAACTCAATGAGAAACGAAGCAGACAAGCACAGAGCACATTCTTGATTTCATTCCGCGTCATGCTCGCTGTCCATGTTCCCATGAATCCAGAGGGAATGGTACCGGATGGTGCTTTCACAGGGGCGCCGCGCTTGCGGCATGTCAGTTTAGCAGGCATCAGAGTGGTGGGAGCAGAGGCATGGCAGTGCCCTCTTCGGTAGTAAGAATTGCAGATGATACCTTCCGAGGCTGCCACTTGCTCAACAGTGTCACAGCGCCTGGCTGTGTTGAGTTTGGCTACAAGGCCTTTGCTGAATGCAGCTCCTTGCAGTTCAACCAAATTTGGGCACTGCCTCTTTCGAGACTGCATCAACTTGGCCACCTTTGTCCTGCAAGAGAGGTCATCAACAGGATCGCAAGCTAGGGAGCTGTCACAAGGTTGTCTCAGCTCTACTGGGACTACCTTGGAGCTGACGCGAGACTTCCACGTGCTGGGGGCACATGCCTGTATTTTTTGTGCACGGGTGGAGGCGCTATGCGCGCCGAAAGGCACAAGTCAGCTTGATTGAATCAAATAGGGACACTAAGGAGATACATGCCTGTGACAATTGTGAATTGCTGAAGAAAG